TGTAGATATGCTCTGTTTTTTTTTTTTGTTCAAAGAACACGCATTTTCTCTTTTCTAATCCTCTAATGTAAATAATAAGCAGTATGAAACATAGCAGTTTCAATTTTCTGGCTAATTGATAGCCTCTCGCTAGAAGGTGATTGCAGAAGCTGTGAAAAGTTTGTCGGGACTTTCGAGTTTTTTTGAGCTGAAACCGCTGATCTAAGTCTACATCTGTGTGGTAACATTTGACCGCACTGTTAGTGTGCCGGTGCGTTATTACCTCTCCCAATCTTGAACGTTGGCTGTGTGTCTGACTTCTTCTTCAACAGGGCCTCATCAAGTTTAAGGCCCACGGCACGGCTATATGGTCTCCCATGGTAGAGTACCTGTTACGTTGCCCACTTTTCTATACACTCGCTGACGCAGAATCCGTGGAAGCGTGTGGATTCTTAACTACACGTTAGCCCACTGGATGTCTTTATGGTCCTCCATTGTATCAAGTGCTCTAAAGCATTAACAACTTTTTCGTAACACACCAGGACGGCTCACTGCTCTACCATTGTTGTTGAGGACGAAGTAATCGAAGTTGTTAAACACTTCTATGGGTGAAGCTTCTCAAAGCATGGGTCGTGCCTCTACTATATAAGTAGCCACCTCTCGTTTTTGGTCTTGGAATGGCCGCTGGATGGTGGTACGTGTATATGATGAATATATGATGAAAAGATGCGAGATGGTGGTGCCTGGAGTGTTCACTATATGGACAGATGGATGGGCGAACGGACGGAGGGATGGACAGACATACAGATAGCACGGACATACAGACAGATACAGACAAACAGAAGGACGAAAAAAGGGTGGGCGGTCGTGTGGACACACAGACGGATGCAAGCATGGACGGATGGAGGCATGGAAGAACGGACGGACAAAAGCATGAATGAACATATGAACTGAAGCACTGATGAATGGACCGAAGAAAGCATGGACGGACGAACGGAGGCTTTGCCCCACTCATCATTATTCACACCATAGATAGGTGAATTTCTTTGTGACCACATTACTTGTTTCCGTTGTTTCGTTTTTTTATGAACAGATCAGGTGCGCAATGAAACCTCCTTCGTTGAAATACTAGTTCTCCAGACATTGTTTTAGTATGACAGCTAATATACGGTTTCGGCTCAGGTTTGCCTTCGCCTTTTGTCTGTGCCGTCGTGCTCTCTCTCTTTATATATATATATATATATATATATATATATATATATATATATATATATATATATATATATATATATGTGTCAGAACAAAAAGTGATTTAGAGAATTGTCTTCAGACGCGAGGAAAATCGTACGGGCCACTTCTCGCTCCACAGTGCGCGGTGTTAGCCACTGAGCCACGAGAGCGCACGTCCTGCGCTGTTGTAACAGCAATGTATGGTGCCAATATTTATGAAACGAAACACGGGAACGCGTGGCCTGCGCGCTTCGGCGGCTGCTGGCAGCACATTCAAGTGGGAGTGGAAGCAACCACCGCCTTATTTGGCGCCATCCCGAGGCGAGTAAAACAATCATTCACTGGTGATACTGTATAAACTTAGCGGCAAGACGGCAACCACGTCCCCCTTGAAGATAATTACGCGAGAGGCTGCTTGTAGCCTTGAAGGGTTACGGGGCGGTGCTTTCTTATTACCATTGACTGCTTGTTTCGCTCGACTCAAGATAAGTTTCATTGACAGTCAGTCTGCGGGGATTGTTCGTTCAAGGCTTTTGATCATCCTGTGTGTGTTAGTGCCGTATTAGGCCGTTCCGGCAGGTTGGTTGTGACTATTTTGAGTAGTGAATTCAAAGCGGCTCTTGATCCACGCGTTCCTGGCTCATGTCCTGTAAATTGCGCCTCACTGATCCCCCCCCTCCTGTGTGGAGACAGGGTCTTCACTTTGTGAGGACAAAAGTATGATAATAAATACGCTATTTGCCATTATGTTGGTTCATTGAAGTAATACCGGCCATAACAATAATATGTCAGCGAGAAGACAGGACATGCGCATCCGTTGGGTAGTTCAAGACATGCGTGGCAAACAAAGCAGATACACGGTAATGTTCAATAAATTATTGGTTATGATAAATGTACCGACCTACCAATTGATGCATTTCGTCCATTTTAGTTCATTATGCTTGTAAAGCGGAGGCAGCCAAATCTGAATATCACGAAAAGTGATTACCCGTATGTGCGGCAAATGGCGTTTACCATGCGATTACACAGTTCCTGGCATTTGTTTTGGTTTGAAATGAAGAAAAAATAAAACTCGTAGCGAATTTTTGTGGTTACGTGCATAAATGTCAGAGCAACGCGAAGTTTACAAGCTTTTTGGTGTGTTTAACGTTGTATACCTCGTGTGAAGCGCCTTGTATTCCAGACATAAATTCAACTTCAACGTTTACATGAGAAAACACTGCTTGAAGTGGCCGTATGCGTTTTGCAATGTGATTTCGTTATCAAGGAAGTGAAAGCAACTTTGTGCTTTCAGTTCAAAGAGCACAGGAGTACACTGTGCTATTAAATCATTCTTGCAACATGCCTGTGATTTAAAAAAATTACCTGAAAATTTTTTCAAACAAGATATTGCGACATCTTCTAGAATCGACTACGCAAAATTTTGGGGTACCTGTTCGGTCACCAAATGGCTGTGCGAAAAAGCTCACCACCCGTGTGCAGTACTCAACCAAGTCATATGTCTTCTACATACAGCAAGTGCTCACGTCAGTGTGCCGGAAAGTGAACGAAAAAAAAAATCGACAGTGACAAAGTGGGGCACATACTAAAGGGTATCGGAAAGGACGATTTCATCTTGCCTCTCTACACCAACGTCATGACCGTCCATCTCATCATTAAGGAGGGCGGCCGCTTCGAAATGGCGAAAAGCCGCCACATTCTGCCTCAATTTTCGTGGCTACCAAACGCGGCTGCCACATCAACGTAAACCAATATTGATGCCACACCACCTTTACAGGAGAACGTGAAACGCATTGTTCAATGGGAATTTGAGGCGGCAAGTCCGGCGCCGTTTCATCTCAGCATTTCCACCGGGCATTACGTGTGAGAAGAGACGCCACATCGACTAAGGTTTGATTGAAGTATATTGTAACCGGCAGTTGCGGCTTGACCGATTGATGAGGAGCGAACCGAGACAGCACCTCACCCTCTTCATCAGGCACACATGCTCTTAGTCTCCGAGAGGGTCAGTATGCATAAAAGTAGCAATATGCTCATGAAACTTTCCCTTCTTAGGAGAGAGTAAATGGGTAAGTGCTGTGGCCGTGGCAAAAGCAGGTACTCCGTAAATGCTGCCAAATTATTATTCTACAGTTTGCCGATTCTTGAATGTTTCCTGCAGCATCCCGAATATGTTGCTCATCACTGCAACTTCTTTAGCGTACTATACACTCAACATTAAAGACTGAATTTTCGTCACGATCATCATAATTGAGAAGAAAATGGCCCAGGGGTTTTCGTCCTCTGCTGCTGACCCGAAAGACGTTGTCTCGATTCCATCTTCGGTGGTACATTTCGTTGGCGGCGGAATGCTTCAGAAACGTGTATACGAAGGTATAGGTGCAAGAAAAGAAACTGTATCTGTGCAAAACATTTGATGCTCTTTACTACGGTGCACTTCAAATTCATATCAAGATTAGAGCTACTAAAATGCCATGTAAAACTATCATTATTACAATGCCGCCACTTTGGTGCACTTGTTTGCTACGTTCTGTACTGAAGGTTTTATTTAGCAACAAGCACACGTGACAATGTGGCACTGATGTTTGCAGCAAAGTATAACCGTAGTCGCTTTCTGGCAGAAAGATTATGATCTGTAATTCCTATTCTCGTGCTTTAGAAGAAAAGCAGCTTCAGAAACACAAAACATAACAAAGACGGCTGTATTTTTTTGTTTTGAATTTTTGTTTTTAAGAGATTGAGAGTAGTTAAGCCCCCCACCCCCCCCCCCCCAGCCTACTATAGCTCAGCACTCTATCATAACTTCTTATTTACTACGATGTCTGTGCAACATTTTTTGCGTATTTTGCATCCTCAACTTGCCCATTGATTTCACATCTAAGGACTTTTCGCATGCCAATGCTAACGAGGAGTAATGACTATCTTTAGCTAAGGCATCCCAACAAACTATTTTAGCCAATTTGGGGCGGATGGAAAGTTTGGCTAATGTAGAATTCCTTGCTATCAACAGGTTAATTTTAAAAAACGCTTCTCACGAGACTTGAAATCTTTTCAGGATATGTCATTACGAAAAGTGTACACTACTCCCCCCCCACCCACCCATCTGATTTTAGAAGATACGACCCGTGTATTTGGATGAATGTATCAGATGTATTCTTTGATTACCTAGGCTGTTCTCTTTACATCAAGTTCCCAAACGCAACGGCCTGCACATTGATATCGGAGAAGCTTCCAATCACCACTTTATTTGGCATGCTTCACAATACCAAAGAAGTCTGAGTTAGCGTTGTGGGTTTAGGTTAGTAAATAAAAATCCTAAAGTTCACATGATTGTTAAAACCAGGTCACTACTATTTATTTGACACTTTATTCTGCACCCTTCATGGCATAGAATGACTAACAGGTCATAACTATTGTGCCTAACAAATCACAAATAGTCAAAGCTTTAGACGCACCACACGCAAGAAACATGCGTACAATGGGCTTGGCACATCGGTCTCTCCAGCGTGACAAATATTTTCATTGACCTCTACTTTAGACCCCCGTATCTGGAATAGGCGCTCTCGGAGTGCAACCGTACATCATTCGAACAAACACCTGTCTCTGCATGACACGCTTGCACAGAAACTAGCCAATGAAGTCAGAGTAACAGCAATATTTCCCTTTCTGCCTTTTATCTCACTATCCCCGCGATTAGAATGGTGGAAAATTACAATGACGTCACAGAGTGACGCACCGAATTCTCGGTCGTTTTCCTGTGCAAAACTGTTTAAATATGCTCACACTAACGGCTACACTACAAGTTTTTGTTCAACATCTGAAGACGAGCGGTAGTAAATACGACCTCATCGATTTTACCTATATGCGAGGTTTGCCGGTTTTTTTTAGGTGCAATATTCATACGTTAAGGACATTGCAAACAAGGCTAAGCGTCTTCTATGAAATCAACTGTACTCATTAAGCCGACTACTTGCGATTTTAGACTGCATGCATCTTATTGAAGTGCTGTGATTTAAACTTGTCGAAGAAAAATCCAAATAGTTATTGATGCTCAGAATCATTTTCTTTGCACAGCCCGAGAACTTCGAAGAGCACACATTCGTAGTTATAATCGAAAACAACGATGTGTCTATATAGAAATGCTTTTACAGCTACATAACTTCATGGTTGTTTTTACAGAAATCCTCCCGATGCAATAATGAATGCCAATGCCGTACTGATTGCTCTGGTGGCTTGCGCCTTATTAGTAGGCGGTAAGTGTGACTTTATACAATTTTGATTGAAGCTACACAGCTGAAGTATGTGTACACATGACATGTAAAATATGATGTAAATGTGGTCGCCTAGAGAATGCCCCTAATATGTATACCTTAGGTACATGACATATTAGACAAAGAAACTAGTTAAGTAAGCGGCCTCAGCCAACTCAAAAACCTAAATGTTTATGTATATAATAATTTAATTTTGAAATACTAGAAGATATGCTACACGAAAAATGTCTCAGTATACCAAATGCACAATAATAAAGCTTTATATACGACAAATAGTAATAAAAACACTAAGACTTTGCTACATTTTGGTAGGTTCGGGTGAATGTATTTCACTGTGGTACTTCGCACTAGCATACTTATTTAGACGCTGATGTACAGAATTAGCAAAACTGGGTTATTTCAGTTGTTCAGAATGGCAAAAAAGAAGTATGTGTGAAGAAATGCGAATTGCCACCTAGTACTTACATAGTTAAATTCACCTGCAGTAACAATTCCTTATACGAAGTTTTAGACGATTCCACACATAATGCACATTCCAAGCAATTTTTCCTTCGTACTCACTTCAATTCAAAAGTATTTGCGATGTTTCTACCTTAGTTTACCACCCCGTTTCAATGAATACCATTGTCACAGTATTTTACAACGATTGATCGAAAAATAAACGCTGAAAGTACTGATTGTCTCGTTTAACAAATCGGTAATGGTGTATTTTGTAAGTAGATGACTGGCTTGGTCCTACTCCTAAGAACATCACACCTCATTCCAGCTGCAATACACCTTATTGAAACCGAAATAACGGAACGGCCTCTGTGTGTTCATTACCGATGGCTTCATTTGTATCAGGTTATTAGCTTACAACAAATAACACCAAAGAACAAAACAATTATACTTGCATTCAGTTCTCACACTAGCGATATATGGCAGTAAATATTGATTACCAGTGCCGCTGTCTCTTCAAAAACGCATAGATGAGCGTTCATTGTGCTTTGACGGCTCGAGATGGTAATGGGCATATATATGGGTGACTAATAGGGCTCACTATCAGTGCAGATAATGGAGCTTCTCTTCGAGTCAATACGTTTGTCATAGATGTGCTCCAGTCAGTCTAGGAACGCGTGATACACATTTCCGTCATCATAGCAGCACGATCAAGTTGTATACGATGCACGTCGAATGCTGTCTGAAAATCCGTCTTTAAAGCGATGGCAGCCTATAGAGAGAACAAATTATGGAATGAGCGTGAGGAATAGCAGCCTTGTTAGTACTCAAAGTTTATAGGTGTATAACTAATTCCGACTGAAATTTCCCCGACAACGAAGTGACAAATAATTAGTTTCATAAATCATGTATACTACTGAAAGCTGTGCGGCGGTCAGCTAGCTAATTGCACGCTTGATAATACTTTGGTGCACATTTCTACACACGTAGGCACTATCCCTCAGTGAAAATCATTTTAGCATCACATGCAGTATTTTTGCATAGGTATTTTAAACTTTTTTTCGAATCCAGGCACCGAGGCGTGTGGTGGCGAAGGCCGCTCCGAGTCCGGTCGCTGCGGTGGCAGCGAAGGGCGCAGCGAGCACGGACAAGCCGAGGCACGCCAGGAGAGCGAGGCTGCCCGCTGTGGTGGAAGTTCTGGTCGTTGCGATGGCTAGTCATGCCCCAATAAACTTCATCAACATGCCATCGCGGCTGTTTGCTGCAGGAATTGCTTTGGAAGCAAGAGCCATCTTGATCACGAGAGCTTTGAATAATTGTTAGACCTATTAAAGGTGTTCAATATTGCATGTATTCGCTTCTCTCATGTTCTGTAACCACCATCCATATACTTCTTTTTTTGCATTATGTTTCATTGCAAGAGGTATGTATCACCACCGTAGAGTCAATTATTTACGCTGCTTGAATTTCAAGCCAGTTTTCTAAGCAATTCAATCTTATTTCATTTTTTACTATCTGGGGTTGAAGATGACGCTTTCGGCAGGATTCATTCACCTAAAAGGGCTGGGTTAGCGACCTCCAAACAGCCTGACAGCAGCACTGGAAAAGCTTGACTACATGTTGCTCAATAACAAGGTGCAAGCCTTAAATGTCTTATATAGAGCTGTCCCTTAATTGCTTATTGTAGACACCTCAGACATCACTGTATCACTTCTCTCAAAATAGTATTTAGGTAGGGTGACGTCAAACACACGGCGGTTGCATGCGTGTTTGCCACAGTGTGACGTGATTTCGCTTCGCACAGCAGTTTCTAAAGAACTTGCACGTTCTCGCAACCGAGCACTGATGTATGCAGCCCAATCTGTCCCAGATACACTTTTCCGCATGAACATCTTATTCCACAAGCGACGAAAGCCGTTCACTTGAAGAAGGACTTTGTATGTCGGTTGGAACATGTGGATGTAACTTTTTCCCCCCTTCACGAGGCGACACATGCGACCCTGTTATTGGTTGCAGGAAACAGTACATGAATCCCGCGCAGCCTGCTGCCTTCTTGATGCGATGCGACGCGCTGTGGACGTATAAGGAGTTTTAGTGACGTTGATGATTATCTCCCTATTTTTTAACAAATCGTCGAGCCCCTCCAGCAGTACCATTTTCTGTGAACGAGCATAGTAGATGTCTTGGGTGACCAGCTGCTGTCAGTGCCTGAATGCGGTCTGAAAATCTGGAATACACCAAGTGGGGTTACGAACTGAATGATTAACTTGGCATGGCAGACTGGACGATGCCTCTATTTAGCGTCTTTGAGGGAGGCTCTTTTTCGAGGAGGGCAAACATCCTTAATAAGGACTGTCAGGCCGCAAAGAAAAAACAAACAGGCAAAAAAACTGTGCATGCAGTGTTACCAGAGCCCGTCAAGATGGGTCGCATGCATCGCCCCGTGCTTGAAAAAAAAAATGAAGTTACACGTGGTCAAAGTAACACAAACACCCTTCCCCAGTTACGCGACTGGCTTCGTTTATGAAATCCGACGTTCGTGCGAATAAGTTTTATTGATTGATACGTGGGGCTTAACGTCCCAAAACCACCATATGGTTACGAGAGACGCCGTAGTGGAGGGCTCCGAAAATTTCGACCACCTGGGGTTCTTTAACGTGCGTCCAAATCTGTGTACACGGGCCTACAGCATTTCTGCTTCCATCAGAAATGTAGCCGCCACGGCCGGGATTCGATCCCGCAACCTACGGGGCAGCAGCCGTGTACTTTAGCCACTAGACCACCGCGGCGGGGCTTGCGATTATGTTTATGGGGGATAAGCTGTGCAGTGCATCAATGGTCGGTTACGAGGACATGGTAATTGAATTAAGAACCAGTGTTGGAAATAACCTCCCAGTGTATTGTGCAAAGTACGGCTGCACTGCCAGCTTGTCTGACGTCGCACTCTTAAACGCTTTGTGACAGGGGCGCTAGAGGGATATCAAGAGATATATAATGAGACACAAAAGAGAACTTGTGTATATATTTTCATTTTTTCATACACACAAGTTCTATTTTCTTTCTCATTATAGATGTCTTGATATCCCTCTAGCGCCCCTGTCGCAAAGATATATACAGATAGATTATGCAATGAAGAAGCGTAAGCTTGTGCGGTCGTTGTACCCAAAATTCAGAAAAAAGGAATGTACAAATCATTGCACAAATCTTCATCGACGACAGCAGGATCGGCGGATATCTTTGAAGCAGTTAATCTTATAAGCGAGAATTCTTAGCCACGAAAGTGGGTGATATGCACGTATAGCGAACCTGTCTTTCGGCAAATAAAAAATCTGAGATCACTTTACAAAAACGATGAATTTGCACAATGTATTGCACAAACTGTGGAATATGCCTCAGCGCAGGGTCACAACATCGTATTCCAATGGATAACGAGTGACATTGGAATAAAGGAAATGAAGAGGCTGACAGCCTCGCCACGAAAGCATTGAACGAAGGACGGGATTGCGCAATCAGTATGTCTTGGGCGGATATTCGACATTTTATAACGCAAGGAGCTAAGCACTTGTTCTATAGAGAAGTGGTTCGACAGCCCTAAATCAAAGGAATCAGTAATTTATGAAGTATATCTACACAGAAAATGTTTTTATAGCGACAGATCTCTCACGACACTTAGACATTATTCTACAGACTTCGCTTGCAAGTAGCACACACAAACTGGCTTCCTGCACAGAATACATCGATCCAAATCCCCGGAATGCCATTGGGTCATGCAGAAGAAAATGTTCGCTATATTCTTTTGGAGTGCGTTAAATACGCGAATACAAGAGAAACCTAAAGAACAAATCAGCAAGTTTTACAGACGGCCCCTCACATCAATAAATTTACTTGGACTATTGCCTGAAATGCATCTTCAGAAAAAGGTGTCACAGGTTCCATTAATTAGGGAGGCGATCGCCGGGCTAATTCCAAGGACCGAAATATCGGCCCCCCGTACTGCACCACGAAAGCTTGGACAATTTAGAAGTGGTCCTATTTGGCGCGCCAGCGGACGCCAGCTGTGGCCCAAAGAACAAGCAAGAACAAAGAGTTGATAAACAAAACAAAATTATATTCTGAATGTTGGCAGATCAAAACGATACACAAGTACGCACACTCCACAATAGTTGAATACGATATGTCACCAATCAAACAACGTACTACACAGTACATTCAGCCACATTCGAAACAACGGACACAACAACAATACGCACTACAATGCAATCGCATGCATCGAACAACCAAGACACTTAAAGACAAAAGTGTTCGAAAGCTTATTCAGTCCAAAGTCCTTGGAACAAAAGTCGGAATGATACTCTTCCGAGAATCACTCCCTCAATGTCCAGCGCTGTTGTCGTTCCGCTGCCCCCGAAGTTTCTTTTCCAGGAAACTTTGCGTCTTCATTGGCCGCTCTCCGAGCACCAAACTTCTTCGCTGTTAACACGTCTGCTTCACACGCGCAGCTGTTGCCACGCGTCTTTGCTCGCTGGCGGTAGACACACGCTCCTGCCTGTAGCACGAGAATTCACCCCTGAGGTGGAAATTCTCTTCTTCTCCTCCTTTGTCACTGAGGACAAAAGGCTTCACCCACACGGCGGAAAGACCCTACGCACACTAGCGCAACATTCCCTTTTCTCCTCTGTCACTGAGGACAAAAGGCTTCGCCGACAAGGCAGAACACTCTACGCACACTGGCGCAAAATTCATTTTTCTTCTGATCTCCCATCTCTACTGCTCGGCTAAATACCCTTACGTGCTAGATTCCAGAAAATTCTCATCGTTTCCGTCGGCGTGATGCGCAGCGAAGGCTGGAGTAAGCACGAGTAGTTTCGAGGGCCGTCTATGACACATGACGCAACTCCGCATCACCACGCCCCTTTTTCTCGAGAACCTTCCAGGACTTGCTCGGCCGCCGATGTGAGGAGGTTAGTCGGTGAACGACGCTTCTGAGGGGAGAGAGCGGGCGTGCCCAGGGAGTCTTTGGATGTTTGTTTCCTTTTTTATTGTTGACCTTGAGGCGCTTCTCTGTGCTTGGTATCGTTACTGTAACTGAAACTCGGTGGCGCGCGCTTTTTTCAGAGCGCTCGTTTGTGACAAAAGGCAATCATCTTACTGACAGACTTTTTAGTAGAGACCGGACTGGATGAGCGCCTGTGATAGACAGTCAGAGATTGATATTGTCGCGACGTCAAGAGAGAGGTCGTACTCGAAGACACTGAGAAAACAGCAGCGGGTCGGTCGTTTTGTTAACCACGCGCGAGAGAGCTCCTCATCTTTCTCGTTGTTGCATTCTGCATAAAAGCGTGCAGATGCGCGTATGCGCTGTCGCCTTCGTCTTTTTCGTGGGATGCACGTGACATTTGCCTCCCTCCAAAAATGGCATCGTCCTGATGCGCAGCCAAGGCACTCTACCTATAAAAAGGCACATATGCTCCGGCACGCACAGGACAAACGAGAGTTAGCTGGACAAGTAGGGTTTCATCCGGACGACATGCACGATTTCGGGTGAGCAGTTTCGGTGACTGGAACTGCAATCGCCGTCGGAAATAACTTCGTAGTTGATGTCGTTCAATCGTCGGGTGACTCGATATGGGCCAAAGTATCGTCGTAATAGCTTTTTGGAAAGTCCGCGTCGACGTATTGGGATCCAGACCCATACCTTGTCGCCTGGTTTGTAGGTTACCAATTTATGTCGTAGGTCGTACCGTTTCGCATCTTTGTGTTGCTGGTGACAAATACGCACGCGGGCTAGCTGTCGGGCTTCTTCGGCACGCTGATCAAATTCTTCGGCGTCAGCGTGAGTGTCGTCACACTCGTGCGGCAGCATAGCGTCTAACGTTGTAGTGACTTCGCGCCCGTGTATTAAACTAAACGGCGTCATTCCGGTAGTTTCCTTCCGGGCAGTATTATAGGCGAAGGTCACATAAGGCAAGATTTCGTCCCAGTTCTTGTGTTCTGTGTCGACATACATGCAGAGCATGTCTGCGAGGGTCTTATTAAGCCACTCTGTTAGTCCGTTCGTTTGTGGGTGGTACGCCGTTGTTCTCCGGTGAGCTGTACCACTGAGCCTGAGAACCAACTCCAAAAGTTCTGCCTCGAACGCAGTTCCTCTATCCGCGATGAGAACTGTTGGAGCACCGTGCCGAACGACGACGCTTTCTATGAAGAAATGAGCCGCTTCTGCTCC